GTTAATGACCTCAACAATGCTTGCAATAGTGCAGTGCGATCAGAAAGATGATCCACAAAACAACCAAGATACTAGACCTTGCCCAAGAAGCTTTACATATCATTATTCACACACTTCGGAGTAGGAAACTTTAGAATAATCATAAGTTTGTCAGAATCAACTTGCAAACCCTCACGAAAAATATGGTACCCAAGATAAGTTGTATCCTTGGACCCAAACATGCACTTTAACTGTTTTAACTTTAAACCAACGTTTCGTAGCCAATCTAACACTTTACAAACATCATAGACGTGTTCCTCCCATGTCCCTCCAAGTGAATCAAGACATCATCAATGAAGTTAGTAGTCACCTTTGGCATATTGCAAAGAACCTCATCCATCATCCGCTAAAAAGTCGTTAAAGCATTGTTGAAACCAAATGGCATCACTAATAATTTGTATAAACCAAATGGTGTACAAAAAGCAGTCTTAGGAATATTTTTTTCAGTTATTGCTACTTGTTGGTACCCAAAAACAAAATTTAGCTTGGTGAATAAACAACTTCTCCCCAGATGATTCAAGAGACTAGTAGTGTGAGGAAAAAGGTACACATTTGGGATCATCACTTTGTTTAATGGACGATAGTCAATGCAAAAATAAATACTCCCATCAGGCTTCGTCACAAGATGAGGTTCATATACCCATTTGCAACTTTTGAATAACACCTTTTTCTAATATTTCTTTGACATTTGCACGTAAAATCTTGATCTTTTTGGGGGATTGACAAGGAACAGGAACTTATAAGACACAAATCCCAAAACCCTAAAAGTGGAGTCAAAAGGGTGCCACATGGTAGTGGCCGAAATGAAAGCCAAATAGGAATAACACATTTGGACTAAAAGCTCCGACTTAGACAGTTGAGAGTGGGAGTGCAACTCTCAACAAAGTGCTCGAGAACAAGTATGAAGCAAACAGTAAGTGAGTCTATAGAAAAAGGATACAAGATGACTAACACATGGAGTCCGAAATGGATTTGAAATGGACCTGAGATGGACCTGAGATGGAGTTTGAGATGGACCTGAGATGGACCTGAGATGGACCTGAGATGGAGTCTGAGATGGACCCAAGATGGACCCAAGATGGAGTCTAAGATCAACCTGAGATGGATCCGAGATGGACCTAAGATGGACCCGAGATGGAGTCCGAGATGGACCCAAAATGAACCTGAGATGGAGTCCGAGATCAAGTCTGAGATGGAGTTCGAGATGGACCCAAGATGGAGTCCAAGATAGACCTGAGATGCAATCCGAAATGGAGTCCAAAATGGAGTTTGAGATAGACTCGAGATAGACCCAAGATGGACTCCAAGATGGAATCAAGATTGAAACTGAGAGACCGAGACCGAGACCGAGACTGAGTCCGAGACCAAGATTGAGTTCGAGTCCAAGACTAAGACCAAGTCCGAGTCCAAATCTGAGTCCGAGTCTGAGTCCGAATACTAATATAAGTTATTGGGTGAAAGTCTAAAGCGATCGTCCCCCAGGGGGGCGGAGGGCTATAGAAGGGTTCCAAAATTATAGTAGGGAGAGTGTGGGGGTTGGACCCCAGTGGAGTCAATTTGGCCCAAGAAAGTTATACCTGATGTTGGGTGATGAGATAACCATTGGGAAGTCCAAGACTAAAGTGAATACAGACTGACAAATGGGGTAACTTGATGAAGTGTTCAAGAGTTGGCTCTAATTCCCCCGGGAAATTGAATGGTTGATACTCCCAGTCCAAGCGTGGGTGGCATTATCTACTTGGATACCTGGCATGGCTTAATGGAACCTCACTCTAAGTCCATGGCTAGAGCACCCAAAGACAGAAGGCGGGGAGAATACCCATAAGGCTCGCATAGGGCCACAGTGTTCCAAAATGTTGTCCCAAAGTGCTAGATTGTGGAAAGGAAGAGGAGTAGTCTTTTGGTATGGCGACTAAAGATACAGTCACATGGTGAGGAAGTCCCAGAGGACAATGGGACTTGGTGGTCAGGACTATGGGCTTTGATCCAGTGGCAATGTTGGTGAACACAATCATGGACGGAAAGGGACTTAGTGGGGACTTAAAAAGGGATATTAGAGAAGGTTATTCCCCATATCTATGGGCATCCTAAGGATGGTAACGAGTGGATATGGGATGATCACTCATGGACGGATGGCCCAGTCTTTGAGAGACAAGACTATGATATGGGTGGTGTTGGATCATCAGTGTGACAAAGGTGAATGGGTATAGCTTTAGAGTAATAGGCTGGTATGTCAGTGGTACCTTTGGGTGGTCATGAGATTAAACACATGCAACATTTAGACCAAGTGCAAAGGTTGAGTGGCATAGATGCCATTTTTGGGGCTAACAAGTCCCTAAGTCCAGAATAAAACTTATAAAGGTTGTGAGTGAGACTCCAAAAGTATAGTAGGGAGAGTGTAGGGGTTGGACCTAATTGGAATCAAATGACATGTGGCAATCTTGGCCCCAGATGATAGGTCAAATTCAAAGAAATTAGCATACTCCTTCATAAGCTGGTCAACCACTATAATACAAAGATTGTTGGAAGAATAAAAAAGGGAAGAGTAGAACAAAATAGAAATGTACAAGGAAGTAGTGGGAAGACAAAAGTAATAGAAGTAGAGGTAGAAGTAGAAGGATGAAGTGGTATGAAAGTGAGAGGAATAAATGAAATACAAGGAAGTATGAGATAAAGGGGAAAAGCCTCAAAGTCATATTTAGCATGATTGCGCTACAACCCATACCAATGATGAGGTCAAAAGCTTGACTTGGCACCACCTACAATGACTGTAATTCAAGCTCAAGATCACCCACATGCACAATCAGGTTTACCTCATCTCATGCACATGCATGTGTACGGCCGTTGCTATAATGAATGAAAATTGGTTCTACCATATGATGCAAGTGTAGACGGCAACATGTGGCAACAGGTTGAGCAATAGAAGATAAACTCGAACTTATATCAACCAACACGGAGAGAATAATATGAGACATTTTGTTATAAAAACGAGCTTGGAAAGTAAACACTAGATGAATCAGTACTAAGTGGACCCTTTGATGATACTCCCAAAAAAAAGATGAAGGTGTCACTGACTTATTCGCGCAAGGTCCCTCTGTTACTCGCATGACTCCTTGTTTCCCGGATGCATCTCAGTATTTAGACCTTCCACTACAGCAGCACCAATAAGATGTTGTTGACGCCAAGGTGTCCACCCAAGAAATGGAGGTCACCAATCTGGAAAACACTGACAACACCGATAAGTGTAATCAACTTCATCACATGCCTAATAGCAAATGTCACAACCACAACCACATCTTTGCCCTTGTCTTTGAATTCGAGCAATAGTAGCATCAACCTCCATTGGAACAGGACCATCCCTCACAAGAAGTGGAGTGGAAGGATGTATAGGGAGAAGTGGAAGAGACGACATCTTATAATATTGTGCCAAGCGAAGAGTATTGTCAAGGGTGGCTGGAGCAAGTGTATGTATAAATCCGACAAGATCTTGACGAAGTGCTAGCCACAACATTCCTAGTTTGATCCTCTCTGACATATTTAGCTCCACATGAAGCAAGAGGCTTTGGAAATGAACGCTAAATTGGATCACCACCTCAGATGGCCCTTGACAAAGACGATGCAATTGCTGGAAATCATTATCATAATCATCAGCATGTCCAAATGTGCGTTTGAAGACATTATGGAAAACACTCCAATCCCCACGAGTGGTTGCACTCAAACCATTGTATCACTACAACACTATCCCTTGGAGACACATGGGAAACTCATGTAAATGTCGAGTATCATTCCAAAAATGATATGTGGCAATTATTGTGAAGTGATTGAATCAATAGTACATATCATCCCCAGGATTCCTACGAAAGAACTCCGGTTAAATGCAAAAATTGGCACCAAAAAAAAGAGGAGTTGTACTATGTGCTATGAATGTTGCTATCAACTTAGTTTGGTTGTTCAATTATAATTGCATAGCATCAAACAATTACACCAACTACTACTCTAGAGTCAGAGGAAGAGACTACTACTCTGCCATGAAGATGAATAAAAAGGAAAGAGTAAAAGAAGAGAAATCATAAAAAAACTAGAAAGAAAGGAAGATCTAGACAATGGAAAAGTTAAATTTAAACCAAAATCCTGAAAAGAAAGAATAAAAGAAAGGAAATAGAAAATGTTAAATCTAAACAATTCAAAAGTTAAATTTAAACCAAAATCCTAAATCCAAACACTCTTAAGGACAATGGAAAATGCCCCTCACCTCCACCAATGTGAGTGCTTGGAATATGAAAAGGAAATATAGAAAATGTGCATATCAATTAGCCCTAAAACTCTAGTTTATATACATGAGTGAGTGGTCTAAATTGAAACCAATCTGATAGCTACCAAAATCCCATTACGCTAATATTAATATATGGCATCATAAACCTCACAATTGTTTTATATAAATATGTTATAAATAAGTGGTATTTAAATTAATATTAAATTGTTTTTTATATTTTCATTATAGAGAGATTGAGTTTGATTCTTAAGAAATTTTTCTAAAAATATATTTTTTAGTTCTCAAAATTAATTATGAAATCGTATCATTAATCATTTATTTTATATGATTGATTATAGTCGAATGATGTAATGTCATTATTTTTAGTTTTCTTTTGAAGTGTTCATTTTTGCAAAATACAATAGAAAGGTTAATTCTGATTATGAGAATAACTTTTTGATGAATACAAAACATTATTATAAGTTTTATTTTTTGAAGCATGTATAAATGATATATAACTATGTTAGTTTAGTAATATTTAATAAATTCTATAATTTTTTTAAATAGATGAATTATAACAAACCTTTAACTTAGAAATATTAAATTTTAATTAAAGTTTATTTCTTCTTTTGAATTAGTGATGACATTAAAATTTCGTTCCTAATTAAATATAACCGGTTAGCTTAATCTTTCCAGATTTAGGGTTTATGGAGATGAAGGCGGCGATTCTGGGAGCTCAGGAAACTGCTTCGGATTTTATCTCTTTCCTCAATGCCGCGCCTACGCCGTTCCACGCAGTCGGTAAGATCGTTTTACTTAGCGATTCGTGCCTGGCCGGCGCGTTTGATTGCCATTTCTCTTCTCCAGCCGAAGCTAAGCGAAGACTAGAAGCCGCTGGGTTCACGCAATTGTCCGAGAGGGATTCCTGGGCGCTCTTGCCCGGCGGCACTTACTATTTCACGAGGAATTTCTCCACTATCGTCGCATTTGCTATTGGCAAGAGGTACCTTTTCCTTTTTTTTCTTTCCAGTTTTGGTTCATTGTTTGTTTTCCAGGTTTTACCCTGGTTGTGGATTTGCTATCGTGGGAGCTCACACAGATAGTCCGTGTCCAAAGCTCAAGCCACGCTCAAAGGTTAGCATGTCCGGTAGATTTTTTTCTCTTCCCTGATGAAGTTAGTTTTTTGCTTGGAAGATTGTCAAAGGAGGATTTCTGGAACTGGGAGTCCAGACGTATGGCAGTGGTTTATGGCATACCTGGTTCGATCGGGACCTTACAGTCGCAGGGAGAGTTATGGTCAGGCGTGGAAATGGCTTCTCTCACGAGCTCGTTCACGTCAAGGAGCCAATCCTTCGCATACCAACGCTAGCTATCCATCTTGACAAGTACGAAAAGCTCGATTTGTTTTCCTCTTCTTTTTCTTAACGAGTGCTGGATCGTGTTTTCAGGACTGTTTCTGAGGGGTTTAAGATCAATACCCAAACACAGCTCGTTCCAGTTTTAGCTTCCTGTATAAAGGTGAAGTTCTATGTTGGAGTGAATGATTGTTTTCATAGTTTTTGTGTAGGATGAATTGAGTAAGTCGCTCCCTGATGAAAATGGAGCCTTGGTGGCGGAGGACGCAAACAGCAAAGCCGAGGCACACCATCATTCTCTCCTTCTAAAGGTATTTTACACTTCAAAGGAATTTCATGTTTACTCTGGTCTTCAGATTCTTTCTTCGGAGCTAGGCTGCGAAAGCGATGATATTTGTGACTTTGAGCTGCAAGTCTGTGACACCCAGCCCAGCTCCATTGGTGGCGCTCTCAAGGAGTTTGTTTTCTCTGGCAGGCTCGATAATCTTTGCATGTCCTTTTGCTCGTTGAAGGTAAAAAGCCATCTCTGTTTTCCAGTTTTCTTACTCGTTTTTCTCCAGGCCCTTATCGACTCGACCTCTGAAGCTTCCCTGGAGAACGAGACCATCGTGCGAATGGTTGCTCTGTTCGACCACGAGGAAGTCGGATCCAACTCCGCACAAGGCGCCGGCTCTCCGGTGATGCTGGATGCGCTCAAGCGGATCACAATCTCCATGGGAGAGGAAAGCTCCCAGAACGTAAGTAAACTCGTTCGCACTTATCTCTTGCTTGAAGTTATCTCTTCCAGGTAGAGAAAGCAATCCAGCAAAGTCTGCTAGTGTCCGCTGATATGGCACACTGCTTACATCCAAACTATATGGTAAGGATCTTGGAAAAACAATGTTTTTGAACTAAACAAACGCCTTGACCAGGATAAACACGAGGAGAATCACCAGCCAAAGATGCACAAAGGCCTCGTCGTGAAATATAATGCGAACCAGCGATACGCCACAAACGCAGTCACGTCATTTATTTTCAAGGAGATTGCGAGACGACAGGACCTTCCAACACAGGTGATAAGAATTTTTTTCCAGGGGAAAACCGTGAGAAAAGCTAACATTTTTCTTCTTCTCTGGCAGGATTTCGTCGTCCGAAACGATATGGCTTGCGGATCAACGATCGGGCCAATCTTAGCTAGCGGTGTTGGCATCCGAACGGTCGACGTTGGCGCTCCCCAGCTCTCGATGCACAGCATCCGCGAGATGTGTGGAGTTGACGACGTTGGTTACTCGTACCGCCACTTCAAGCTCTTCTTCGAGGACTTCTCAGCACTGGACCAGCACGTAAACGTCGATTAGTAGTCTCCACACTCGACTTGATGGTCCTGTTGATGATAGCTCCCAGAGCTAGACGCTTGTCCACCTGATGGCTCAGCTTGGCGATTGCCAAAGAAATCCGTGATGCATCGGGTTCCCGGAGGCGGAGGATGAAACTGCTGTCTCTTGGCCTTTGGATCGTCGTTCTCTTCCTCTTCTTCTCCTTCTTCTTCGGCACTGTCGTCCTTCTTCTCCTCAAAAATGTCCATGGACTCGTCCAGGAAGTCGAGGAACTCCCTCTTTCGTTTGACAGCCGCCTCGAGGTGTGAGAGCCGGAGACTCTTGCGCTTGCCTTTGAGCATCTCCGAGAAGGCAATCGACGTTAGGCTCTCGATGAACTGCTGTGCTGCTTGGGTGATGGCCATCAGCGCTGGACGAGCCACCACCTTGATTTCTTTGTCGAGCTTGATGATATTTTTGATCCTGGCCAGTGGGAATGAAACACTGATGTTGGTGGCGTTCTTTTCCTTGGATCCATCGTTTGCCGGAGTACTTTCCATGCATTCATCTGTCATAGAAAGCCTGTGAGAGAGAATTTTATTTTCCTTAGAACTCACCAGGCTCACGGTTCGTTTCTTCCTCTACTGCGGGCATTTGTTCCTTCGTGACATCCTCCTAAAGAATAAGAATCAATCAGAAACTTTGCTCTTCTTTTCCTTTTCGAGTGGAAGGAACCTGTTCTGCTTCGCTGCCGCCTTCTTTCTCGGTAATCTGGAAAGAAGGAAACTATAGAACTTCGATTTTGATCACAAAGCTTTCTCACCTCGTCTGGATCATCACCAATCGCATTCTCACTCGAGTCTTTCTCGAGCTCCACTGGCGGCACAGCTGATGTTCCATTGAACTCTTCCTCGTCTTGCGCTCTCTTGAAACGGGAATGCCGCATTAGAAATAAATTTCAATCCCTTCTTACCCCGTCATCGATATCATCCAAGACCTTTTCTCCAGGGCTGGCCGATTCCGTCTCGATAGGCGCCGCTACAGTAGCCCCAGATTGCCGCTGCCCTGCCTCGACAAGAACATCCTGGATTGGATCGTCCGCCATAGCCATAAACCCTAGCTCCCCCAAACTTTGGCGGGAAACATTAAAAACCAAGAAAACTATTCTCCTCGGTTTATAAAAAAGGCCGGCTTTAGCCCTGGCCGTTGATGTAAATGATCTGACGGTAACAGCGTTCAAAAATAGCAGTTGTTTGGAGCAACGGGAGCTAGGGTTAGGGTTTGGGCGATGATTCTTCGTGTTCTTCGTGTTCTTTGTTTGGCCGTGCTGGGGACGCCGGGGGTGTGATCCACGCATTGGGCGAGAGAGCTGCCGCAAAGAGGTTCTTTGTCACTAGTTTAAGCACAGCTTTTTGGTCGCGAAGATGAGGAAGAAGCTCGACACACGCTTCCCTGCGGTAGGATTTTTGTTTTTCTTTGTTTTGATTCCTTGGCTTTGGCCGTTAACTAGGGCTCGTTTGTTTCCTTTTGTTGCTCAGGCAAGGATAAAGAAGATAATGCAAGCAGACGAGGAAGTTGGGAAGATCGCTCTTGCGACTCCTGTGCTGATCTGTAAGTAAAAATTCGAATTTTTTTCTAGAGTTGTTTTACCATCGCCTTGAATCGCAGCAAAGGCTCTGGAGCTTTTCTTACAAGACCTTTGTGACAAGACGTATGAAATAACTCTGGGGAGGGGGGCCAAGACGATGAGTTCTTCTCATTTGTAAGTACTAGATTGCTTTCCTTCTCAGTCTTATCCTTTTTTCTTGCAGGAAGCAATGTGTCCAAACTAATAGCGTATTTGATTTTCTTCGTGAAATAGTTTCCAAGGTTCCAGACATGGGCTCTGACACCGCGGACGAGAGAAATGGTAGCCGCCGAAGGTATAAACTACGTTTCCCCCATTTCTTCTTCGGTGATTTTCTTTTGGCCAGCGGCTCATGCCTCGCTGTGTGTGCTGTAGGAAAATCTCGGACGGAGATGACAATGGCTCGGAAGAAGAGGAAGTCAAGAGACCAAAATCGGTAAGACTTCAGGATCCCAAACTACTTTTTCAACCTTCCAACTGAGTAAAAATTTTGTTTTTTTCGCAGGAGTCCACTACAGCAGGAAGGGGTAGAGGCAGGGGCCGAGGCAGGGGGAGAGGTAGGAACGGAACCTCTGGCGGTAGAGGCGACGTGGTTCCGGAGAGGTTAGAAATACCAGCAGCTCACCACAAATCTGACGACGCGGATGCGGACATGGATAACGATGGTAGCACCGATACTGATAGCAACATAGGGAGCCCCAAGACGACGACGTCGATCACCACAACATCAACTTCGACTAAACAGGGACAGGGACAAGCGCAGGTTGGGAAGTCACAGCCCCGGGACTTTGATCTTAACATGGGGCTGGACGAGAACGGGGACATAGCAGGGTGTAGCGACGTGAAGAAGGAGAAAGAGGCAGTAGCAGCGGGTGTAGAGAAAGAGGAGGCGGCGGCGGCGGAGGAGGAGGAAGAGTGGCCGCAAATACCATCGGACAAGATGAGGTTAGGACTGTTAGATTTGCACACCGAGAGGGGCCACGAGGAAGAAGACGACTACGACTGTGAAGATGACGACGATGGCTGAGAGCAGTGGCGGTGTTTGTAAGAAGTCCAGACTTCTTCAAGGCAAAGCTTTGGAGGTAAAGAAGTAAAAAAACGAGCTTGTACATTAATCCTGACTGAAGGACTTTGACACGGAGAGGGAAGGACGAAAACCAAGGCTCTTTTTGTAAATATTTAGCTGTTTCTAGAGACAAGCTTGAAAAAAAAAATGATAGTTTTTTTCCTCTTAAAAAAAACATGATGTTTTTTCCTCTCTTATTACAGGTGTCGGAAAAAAAAAACATAATGCTTTTTCCTTTCTCTTTTTACAGGAGTCAGAAAAAAAAGGAATATATTTTCTCTTTTTACAGTATATGTGTTGTGTGTGTATCTTCCTTTCTCGACAAAATGAATCTTTTGACGATCTTTTGACGATCTTTTTTCGATCCGGCTATGGTACAAAGTGACGACCCTTCGCGCAAAAAAAGGAGGAAGAAGATGAAAAACACGAAAAAAGAACCGAGCGTGGCTTTCAAGTCGCCAGCAAATCGTCGTCTGATGACCAGATGATGTCCTTCAAGCTCGAGGACAAGCTCTTGTAAAACTACACGAAACAACAAAGAGATTCCTCTGTCAGCTGTCCGAAAACGAAAGGCAACTAAAATTCTTCTCTGCTTACCGTGCGGTACTCGAGTGTGTCGCCCTCTGACTTCCTCAGCTCCACCATGTAGAGTTCCGGGCTCACTTCAAACACCTCCGTGGAGATGGACAAGAAGCTCTTTCCCAGCGAGCTCGACTTTCGTAGCTTCATCTGGCGGCGCAGCCAAAACCGGTCAAGCACAGACCAAACAAAACCATTTTGTATGCCTCGTTTGTACCTTGAAGTTTTGCTTTTGTTGGACATCCAGTCCGAGCGGCTTGGCGGTCTCCTCTATCTTCGAGATGATCTCCTTTGCGGAATGCATCGACGTAAATCTAGTCTCTTGCTTTACAGGTTCCTGCGCAAGAATAAAAATACTCGCGTGAGTTCCTGCTTGTCAAACTCGAGAATGGTTTGGTTTACCTGTTGCTTCTCGAACAGGCCAGAGAGGTCGAGTCCCGATGACATGGAGATAAGCTCGAACGCATTGATCAAGCCTGGCTTTGCCGAGGAGCCGGCGCCGGTGTGCTCCTACAACAAGAAAAATACGATCAGACCGGCTTTCGAGCACAAAAGTGCAGGGAAACGTACCCCTGATTCGTTGAAAATGCTCTCCACGTCCCCTACAACCACATCTTCCTCGTGGTGAAGCTTTGCGGGCTTGTAGTCCTTCTTAAACCATTCGTTTTCCAGAATTTGCGGTATTGTGATGCGCTGTATAACCGAGCACCGAGTCGTGTATGAGGATTGTGTATGCGTAGTGAGAATACAGAGCCTACCTTTTTCGGATTTGGATGTAGCAACTGCGCGAGCAGCTTACGAACACCGGGGCTAAACCACGATGGAACTTTAAACTCGGCCCGAAAGATCTACACCAGATAGTCAGCGGTCGAACAGTAGGGAATTCGTCGCCTACCTTTCTGTACAGGTTCATAATATTTGAATCCTCGAACGGCAAGAACCCGGCCATTAGGACATAAAGAATGACCCCGCATGACCACAAATCCGCTGGAGCACCATCATACCCCTTGTTGCTAATAACTTCTGGTGCAACATAGTTGGGTGTCCCACATGTTGTGTGCAGCAAGCCGTCAGCCTGAGCAAGCAAAAACACGTAAACAAAAGATGCATCTCCAGCTAGCGCAAGTTTTGTCAGCATACCCGAAACTGTTGAGGCAACGCGCTGAGTCCGAAATCGGACACCTTCAAATTGCCATTTGAGTCTAGGAGCAGATTCTCAGGCTGCACAGAAAAACCAAAAGAGCTTCAGTACAAAAACGAGATCTTTTCCATGCACAAGGCACTGACTGACCTTGAGGTCCCGGTGGTAGACGCCGAGACTGTGGCAGTAATCTACGGCATTTATAAGCTGCTGGAAGTACCTCCTGGCATAAGACTCTTTGAGCCTGCCGTGCTTCACCTGAGACACACAAGAGCGCAGATTCAGTGGGAGAGATTAGCGTCGGTCAGCCCGTCGAGTGCTTACAATTTTGCCAAAGAGCTCACCACCTTCAACGAACTCGAGTACGAGGTAGATTTTCGTCTTGCTGGCCAGAACCTGGCATAAATTCAGAGCCACCAAACGAATTAGTCTCTTGCAGAACAGAAAAAACGAAAGAGAGAGAGACAGAGACCATCCACCGACCTCATGAAGCTGTACAATGTTTGGGTGCTTCACCATCTTCATCGTCGAAATTTCTCGTTTGATCTGTGGCACAAGAAAGAAAAAAAATCGCAAGCTCGCTCAGACATGTTCCAGAAAAAGAGAAAAGCAGGAAAAAAAAAGCATACCTGTTCGACCATCCTGTGCTTGAGGATCTTCTCCTTGTCAAGCACCTTGACGGCAACGTGTTCGCCAGTCTCGACGTTCCTCGCAAACCTCACCTTGGCAAATGTGCCTTCTCCCAGCGTCCTCCCCAGCTCGAACTTGCCAATCCGGCTCGGGGAGGCGCTCTTCCTGGGCGGCGATACGTTCTTGAGCCCCATCCTCACTACGGTGGGATCCATCCCTCCCTCCCTTGCTCTTGTCCCTCGACCAGCGATCGATCGCGAGGCAACGCGCAGATTATTCCATCTATCTGTAAACCTTGCGGCTCTCGCGTTTGCGAGCACTCGGCCGCCTCACCCTCGACTTCTTCTTGACGAACTTCACCATGCTGTATCGATCACCTCCAGCTCTACGGCGCCACGACCTCACAAGAAAGGGGGAGAGGAAGAAATATTACGGTGATTCCAAGCCGCGATTGCTCTCGATTGGGATTGTCGGTGACAAATCGAGCTAGCGCAACGGCTGCCAAGAGATCACTTCTAGCCGCGAAATAGACGGCGCTGCCGCCACGAAGAGAGACCCTCGCGTCGATGATCGATATCGACCCTTACCTATCGATCGATGATCCGTGGCGGTTGCTAAGAGCTTCGCACGAAGCTCTTGCCTAGTTCTTGACGGGGAGAAAAGAAAAGATGCGGACACCACAATATACTACACAGGGACACCACAACACGGAGGCCTCCGTTCCACTGACTGACGGCTCCGTCCGTCAGTGCCAGCCCACAAACCCTAGCATCGGGTGCGAATATTCCGTCCGAGCGGCCGCCCCAAAATTTTGCTGTGGTTGATATTTCAGTGGTTCACGTGAAGGAATCATTTGTCGCTGTTAGGGCATATGCGCCGTGTGAGAGAGGGGCAAAGATTCCCATGCCCCAGGGATGGATGGTTGTGAGCGCTCTGGTGGAAATAAACACTATTAAACATTTTGGAGCGATTGATTGGACTGAAAAGCCAGAAGGTGGTACAGTCTTTTTGATTGGATTAGTAGAACATTCTCAAACCTTGTATGCCAGATGAATTGATTTTCCAAGGCTTAGATGCCATGCACACGGACACGTAGGTTTAAAGTGCAAAAGACCATACGATTTGCTTGGCTGGGTGATGGCGCAACAAAGCACTACTAGAAAAAATATATATTTGACAATAAGAAGTGCGATGGTGGGCGGTATGATTTTTTGTTTTGGTTGTAAGCGTCCAAGAGGAGGAGGAGAGATCGTTGCGTACAAATGCATATATTCTTGTATAATGGTGATCAGTCACCGCTCCCAGCCAAACTTAACAAGACATTAATAATATTTTGTGACCGCAAATAATGGCATATCAGAAAGAAATCCATAAAATACGTTTGGAAAAGACCCACTCAAACTCCCCCATTGTTGCATCTTGCATTCCATGCAACAATTGTCTCACCTTGGCATTTTTCAGTGGCGGCCATATAGTTTCGTGAGATATTTGATTTCGAAGAAAGCTGCCGCCTCGTTTGGTTCGTTTTTGGGAAAATCAGGTTTGGCACGATCACTGATGCAGAGGCTCCAGCAGTGATCATACGCAGTGGTCAATCTCTCTACATCATCAAAGTTCCAAGGTGGCTGCCCGAGACAGGGACTCCTGTGTCGGCGCTTAGATCATTTTGTGTATAAAGATATACCATACGTGAGAATATAATACATATACACACGAGCATTGAAAAGCAAGTTTGTCTGAAACTAGGAAACTTCTCATCGATTTGCGATGGAGAAATTGAAAGTCTCAACCTTTGCGGCCATATCCCAACAACACAAAATGTATAGATAAGTAGAAAATTCAAGTAAAAAGTACTAGCATTTTACAGCGCACATTTAGAATCTATGCATATGGGTCCAGGTCCCCACTGTTTGGTTTGCAAAAATGAAAGCTTCCCAGCATCTCAAATCTGCACCATACTTTTCCCACGCATTCGTATAAACACCAAAAACAACGCACAACTTGCAAAGTCACCAGAGAGGAAAGAACAAGTCGAGCTGGGCTCCAGGATATACAAAAAGAAGAAAAAACCAAAAAGAAAAAAGAATACATATACCACTGTACAGATAATATTCCAGAATATTTGGGAATCGGGCATCTTCCGGAATGTGCTATGTGCCCGCCATGCAAGCGTGCCACGCAAATGCGCCGCTAAGTTTTGGTCGTTGCCACCTTGCAGCTTGCAACACATGCCATTTTCCTCATAGGTCAGTCAAGTAACCAGTTAAAAGCAAACACCCGGATCCTTATCTATTGGCCAAATTAAAAATGTTTTTATCGTTGATTTGATGCGTGATTCGCCATTCGTACCGGGTGATGTGGAACCGTATGAGCCGCCACGTAGGGCCGTAGCTTCCAGCGCTCGTGGAGAAAAAGCGCGCTTTCTGTTGCCCTTGTCTTGGGGGACCAACCAGATTCGTACGATTTGTGTTGTCGTACGGCATCTAGTTATAATAATCGAAATATCTATTAAGTACATGAGTGCGTGGCGGCGTTTGAGTTGCCCGGACTATAAAATATGTTATTTTTATAGAAACATAAGATTGCTCAAAGGAAACCATAGCAGATTTCCCATCTAACCTTCAAAACGATCATTACATATATAGTCGTCAAAATTTCCCCGGGCCAGGCAAAACGTAGAAAACCAAATAGAGGTTACCTCCTAGTTCTTCTTGACTGGTTTTTTTTTTCGTTTTTTTGTTCGCTCGTTCTTCTCCTTTAATTCGCATTGGACCGAAGATCACTCATCTCGCTCTGCGGGGTGCCGGGTAAGCTCTGCTGGCCCGCCGAGAGCACCGTCGCCGTCCGCATGGAGGAATGGGTCGCGTTTGGATGCTGCTGCAAGCCTGATTTTGCACGCGCTTGGGCCACGAAGTCCTGTGCTTGCTGCTGCAAACTAAAGGAATGCTGCTGCTGCTCTGGAAGATAATGACCCCGGAGCTCTGGCGGTGGCGGATGATGATACGGTGTCGCCGGCGGCGAGGAGAGCCTGTTGTTGTCTGGATGAGATGGAAGATAAGTGATGGAGGACTGCGGCGACGAGTCGTCCAGAGGCCTCTTTCGAAGATTGGGAAACTTTGCCAGGCTCTCTGCGACGACAAAAAATGTGTAAGATAAGGATGAAAGGAATTAAGGAACTACTGACCGATTGGACCCAGGCCTGCTTTCTTCGAGAAGGTTACTAAATCTTCCATGCTGCTGACCACCTCTGCTATCTGTTAAACACGGAAATATGATCAAGTGTCTGATATGCTCACGGCCTACCTGCAAGCATCTTATGTATCGCTTTGAAAATCCGAGGTCGTTTACAGAGGGCGCGTCTATCTTTACCGCAAGTTGCTTGGCTGCCAAATGGAATCTAAAATGCAAGCAAACGAACGTTTGAGCCGGAAATACGTCAAGAAAAGGCGCCTTGCTTACGCATTGCAATGGTTTTTCAAGTTTTCCACGCTTGCGTCAAAGCTTTCCTTCTCGACCTCGTGAACGAGATTTGACAGTTGATGCACCTGTCCCAGCAGGATAACATGATAAGGAGAGAAAGAAAAGAAAATCTATGCATCGCGATGTAACCTGCTGGAGGAGATTCTTGCGGGGTACCACCTCTTCGTGTGACTTTGTACAAAACTCCCATGAGCATATCTGCGATGAGAAATTTATAACAGGGATAATCAAAGCCAGTCACTTGCCTTAAACATATGGTTGAATGTCACTCGGAGTCGCCCATGTTTGACTATCTGCAGAGCGGATTGCTTGATCAAAATGTATATATAAAACAATCACGAGCGTTACCCTGACTTCCGGGAAAGAGGATTCGTGAACTGCTCTAGCATACTCGAAAACTGCGAATCCTGATGATAAAGCATACCTCCTGAAACAATCTGTTACTCCACTGCACTCATCGCAAAATAAAATTACTCGTCCGGGAGTTCCAAGAAGAACAGCTCCTCAAGCAGTCCACTATCGAACTTGATCTTGAAAAGCCTCGGAAGAACATCCACGCCAGCCTCTGCGTGTATGATAAAGAAAACACAAAAATCGTAAAAACGCTTTACTGCGAAAGGTGAGCAACATACCGAATCCACGACCAGGTTCCACCACGCACAAATTGCACTTCCAATGATCCTGGAAAGAGATCCTCTATTAGTATCACGAAACGAACTGTAAAAGCAACAAAAGTTTTCACCATCGGAAAGAGGCCCTGGGCATGGCGCCCCACAGGACACGAATTATAGCAGGACAAACACCAGCGCTGCGTTGCATTCTCGGCAAAGAACGTTTGAAAGAGATTCCTCCAGAACTGGACAGAGTTGTCCTGCACACATAAAAACGTGGATTGAGCTCGAAGCAAGAGATACAAAACCTAGAAACGAAACGTACGCTGGGCTTCCGCCTTTGCTCTTGAATGCAGAGAGTCAACACTTGAGAGCACTTCGCATACGCAGCCAGTGACAACGGATGCTTGATTCCTTCTGGCTTTAGTCCATAAGCCACTTGCAACCTTGGCTGAGAGTATAACGGGTTTGCTCCTCCTTGTTGTTGATATTGTACTTGAAAGACTGGATGATTGATTGACTGGAAAGGAGGTTGATAGTTGTGTCCTTGCTGGTACAGCGAAAAGGAAGTTATATGTTAGCAAACAAGGAGACCAAATTTTTCTTTTTGTTTCCTACGTAACGTACCAACAGTGACTGCTGCTGGTGGCTTGGATCCACGACCAGATGTTGGATCCCATACTGCCGCAAAAGATTTCCATCAACAAAGTGTCCCGAGGTAGTGAGCTGACGAGCTTTGAGTTGATCGAGCTGGTGATACGCTCCTTGCAAGCTTGGAGCCTGCCTGGAGCTGTACAAGGCGTTGATGATCCTCTGGTTGGCCTCCAGCGCGCTCCCTTGCCTCTGGAGCGCCTGGACCTTCCTCAAGTTCTCGTCACCTATGTAGCCGTGAAGTCCCACCGCTGGCGGCAAGCGGCGATGGTGATCCTCGTCGAAAGAGTCCTGTTTTTCTATCCTGGGCTTCTTGTCCGGGGCGTAGTCGTTACCACCACCACTTCCATCTAAGCTCTCGTGCGATCCCGGCCACAAAGGTCCTCCAGAAAGATTGGAGTTTTGGGCGAGCCACTGCTGCTGCTGGTGCGGCGTATCGGGCACGGCGTTTGTCGTGCCCGACCACTCGTCTGGCAAGGAGTGATAGATGGCGGCGGCGGCGTCGCTGGGATTAAGCGCCGAGCGGAAGGCGTTGGCCTCCCGGAAGGAGAAACTCGGCGCCGAAATCGCCGGGGGATTGGAGTCTACCAGAAAGAAATCTTCGTTCTTGCCGAGCTGGTGCTGGAGCGCGTCCACCGGTGCGTACCTGGCCATTGCTCTGTGGTGCTAGACTTAGCTGGGGGCATCGCGAGGGCGCTCCAGCAGCTCAAAGCCCCGCATTTGCGCCGGCGGGCCACGATTTTGGTTGCGCCGAGGAGAGACGCGATCGATAGATACCTTGCGAGGAAACGAAGCCGATTGCTCTAGAGCGCCATTTCTTCTGCTGCACGACACGGTAAACCCTAGAAGCCCGCGCTACAATGGCACGAGCGCTTTCGAGTGAATATTCGCCTCTTATGGCTACCACTCACGTGCCGCCACGTGGAAGGTCGGTTTTGGGCGTGAATATGCGCCTCATGGATTTGGGGCTTAGGGCAAAAGAAAGTCCCTCTTCTTGAGCGGAGGGTTCTTATGGCGCCTCCTCCTTGTTGTGATTTCTACAAAGGTCAAGAGGTGGAAGTGAGATCTAATCTTAGTGGCTACAGGGGGGCATGGTTTAGATGCAAGGTCTGAGTCTTTCTAGTGTATCTTCTCTTTGATAGATCACATGATTCTCTTCAGATCCAGGATATTGATCTTGTGAAGGATGGGAGGATGAAGGAGGGGAGGCTCAAATATCTTTTGAAGTATCTAGACTATGAGGAGGAGGGTATGCACCTGATTTAAAGTGTGAGAACTGCGGTTTCGTGTGAGTTTTCGCACGGTTTCTTGCGGTTTTCCACATGGTTTCTTCTGGTTTTATGTGTAAATTTGACATATCTTGTTCTCTTTTAGAGGATCATTGGACATTGGAGTACCAGATAATCCCTTTCTTGTCAAGGAAGCCTACAAAGAAGCACCTTCAACACATGATTCGTCCAATGCCACCACCCTTTCTCAGAGAGGATAAGTTTTTCCAATCTAGTTTCAAAGAAGCTATCACAATTTCTAAAGATTGGAAAGTTGGGGATCAAGTTGATTGGTGGACATCAGGTTGTTGGTGGCAATGTACTATTAGAAAGCTTATAGGAAAGGATACTATAGAGGTGAGATTTATAATCTTCATTCTACTACATACTAATATTTATAATTTTTAAGATTGCACTCTTGGAACGTCCATATGGGGAAGGAGGTATATATATAGCTTTGAAGTCTTATTTGAGACCATCTTTGAAATGGTCAAAGGAGAATAGTTGGGAGGTAAAAGTGTTCTATTCTTTTAATTTTATTTTAATATTTTTGGTAAAGGTATTATCTTCTGATGCACAGTATGTAACTTTTGAGCAGGTATATTTTTATATTTTGGTTTTTTAATTTATATTTATTTATATTTAATAGGGGAGAAAGAGGTCTAGAGAAATATATGAAAGGGAGATTTTTGGAGATAAGTCAGTTAAACAAAAAAATTTAAGAGGTATTACAAGGATTATATTTAAGCTTTTATATTTTACATATTTATGTTTTTGTTTCTCCTACCTAATATAGGTGTTATTCCAAAATGGTCAAATTTAAGAGAGGTAGGTATTATAAGTTTTATAAATTTATTATTTAAACATTATTATGCTTGCAGTTAATACAGAAGGCTGTATAATGATATTTGTACCCAATTTTTCATGATAATTAATTTTGTAGTAAGGTGTTAAAATGAATTTTTTTAATCAATTCTATTATTTTAAATATTAGGTGGCAATTGAAGGCTCTATATATTTGAATAGAAAATTTTCACTCATTATTTTAAGTACTAAAACACTTTATACTAGCAAGGATTTACTTTTTTCTATTTCAAGATTTGTTAAAGAAATATGAGGTGACTACTAAAATCATTAATGTATATAGTTTTACTATTAAAAATTATTAGGTGAGATAGCATCATCATAATTTACATTTTTCAAAACTAATTTAATCTTTTTGTAGCCAAGTTTTATTTGATGACTAATTTAAGAAAGAGTAAAGATGCTATTAACTTCTAATTTACACATTTGTTATATTCTCAAGAATTATAAATTCTTGCTGTGAGGGACAAGTGTACGTGCAGTGTAGTGGGATTTTAGTAGTTGTCAGATTGATTTCAATCTAGACCACTCACTCCTATATATAAACTAGGGTTTTTGGGCTAATTGATATGTACATTTTTTGTATTCTTTTTCCATATTCCAAACACTCAAATTGGTGAAGGTAAAGGGCACTTTTTATTATTCCTGAGGAGTGGTTGGATTTTGGATTTTGGTTTAGATTTAGCTTTTACATCATTTAGATTTAGTTTTTTCCATTTCTTTTTTTTTATTCTTTCCTTTCAAGATTTTGGTTTAAATCTAGCTTTTCCATTCCTTTCCTTTTAATTTTCTTCTCATTGCTCTTCTTTTGCTCTTTCCTCTTCATTCATCTTCATGGCAGAGAAGCAATCTTGTCCTTTAACTCTGGAGCAGCAGTTGGTGCAATTGCTTGATGCCATGTGATTGCAATTGAACAATTAAACTCAATTGATGGTGGCACTCACGGCACGTGGTATAGCTCCTCCTGCTCTTGGTGCCAATCCTTGCGTTCGGCTGGAGTTCTTTCGTGGGAATCCTAAGGATGATGTGTACTATTGGTTCAATCACTTTACAATGATTACCACATATCATTCTTGGGATGATACTCGATGTTTGCATGAATTTCCCACGTGTCTCCAAGGGACGGCACTGCAGTGGCATAATGGTTTTAGTGCAGCCACTCATGGGGATTGGAGTGTTCTCCTAAACGTTTTCAAACTTGACGTTTTCAAACATGTTGACAATTGTGATGATGCCTTCCAGCAATTGCATTGTCTTTGTCAAGGGCCATCTAAACCGGTGATGCAATTTGGCATTCATTTTTTAAGCCTCTTGTTTTGTGCAGAACCAAATATATCAGAGCGGATCAAGTTAAGAATGTTGTACCCAACACTTCATCAAGATCTTGTCAGACTTGTGCATGCACTTGCTCCAGCCACCCTTGATAATGCTCTTCACTTGGCACAACATTATGAGATATTGCCTCTTCCACTTCTCACTGCCCATCCTTCCACTCCACTTCCTATGGGCGATGGTTCTGTTTTAATGGAGGTTGATGTTGTTGCTGCTCGAGTCCAAGGACAAGGGCAAGGATGTGGTCGTGGCCGTGACGTTCGCTATTGGGCATGTGATGAAGTTGGTCACACTTATCAGTGTTGTCGATGTTTTCCAAATTGGTGACTTCCATTTCCTGGATGGAGACCTTGGCGTCAACAACATCCTATTAGTGCTGTTGCAGTGGAAGTTCTGGACACCGAGATGCATTCGAGAAACGAGGAGTCACACGAGTAACAAAGGGATCTTACACGAATAAGTCAATGACCCCTCCATCTTTCTTTCGGGAGTATCATTAAGGGGTTCACTCGGCACCAGTTCATCCAATGTTTACTTTCTAAGTTCGTTTTTATAACAAAAAATCTCATATTATTCTCTCCTTGTTGGTTAATACAAGTTTGAGTTTATCTTCTATTGCTCAACCTGTTACCACACATTGCCGTTTACACTTGCATCGTGCAATGGGAGCAATTTTCATTTTTTATGGCAACGGCCATACACATGCATGTGCATGGGATAAGGCAAATCTGGTGGTGCGTATGGGTGATTTTGAGCTTGAGTTGTAATTATTGCGGGTGGTGCTGAGTCAAACTTTTTACCTCATCCTTGGTATAAATTGGTTGCAGCACAATCATGCCAAATGTGACTTTAAAGTTTCTCCCTCCTTGTCTCATACTTCCTTATGTTTCATCCTTCGTCCCCCTACTTTTACCTTTGCTTCCATTATTTTTATCCCCCCACTATTTCCTCTTATATTTCCATTTTATTCTGCTCTTCCCTTTTCCAATCCCTTTGACAATTTTTGTGTTACAGTGGTTGACTGGCTTATGAAAGAGTATTCTAATCTCTTTGACTTTGATCTATAGTCTGGGGCCAAGATTACCACATGTCATCCGATTCCAACTAGGGATGCTTGTTCAATCAAGGTTCTTGTTCATTGTCAATCACCCAAAGAAATCAATATTTCACATGCAAACGTCAAGGAGATGTTGGAGAAAGGTGTTATTCAGAAGTCGCGGAGTCTTTGGCTATGTGAACTTCATCTTGTGATAAAGCCTAATGGGAGTATTCGTTTCTGCATTGACTATCCTCCGTTAAATGAAGTGACAATCCCAAATGTGTACCCTTTTCCTTACACTGCTGATCTCTTGGATCATCAGAGGCAAAGTCATTGGTTCACCAAATTAAATCTTGCTTCTGGGTACTAGCAAGTACTGATGGCCGAAGAAGATATTCCTAAAACTATTTTTCATACACCATTTGGTTTGTACGAGTTTTTGGTGATGTCATTTAGTTTAAACAATGCTCCAGCAACTTTCCAATGAATGATGGACAAAGTTCTTTGCAATATGCTGGAGATGACTACTAACTTCATTGATAATATCTTGATCCACTCGGAGGGGATATGAGAAGAGCACATTTGTGATGTTTGTAAAGTGTTGGATCAGCTACAAAATGTTGGTTTAAAGCTAAAGTGGTCAAAGTGCATGTTTGGGTCTAAAGACTCAACTTATCTTGGGTATTGTATTTCTCGTGAGGGTTTGTAAATTAATCTTGACAAACTTGTGGTTATTCTAAAGTTCCCTACTCTAAAATGTGTAAATGATGTGCAACGCTTCTTGGGCAAAGTGTAGTATCTCGGTTGTTTTGTGGATCATTTTTTTTAACGCACTGCACTATTGCGAGTGTTGCTGAAGTCATCAATGCCATCTTTCATTTGGTCTCTGGATTGTGAGCAAGCATTCATAGATTTCAAAGAGCTATTGACGACTCCTCTAGTTTTGGCATATCCTAACTACACTTCACCTTTTATTTTGCGCATGAATGCTTCTAATATTAGTCTTGGAAATGTGTTGATGCAAGAGAGCCCAAGTGTGCCTGGTCAACGCCATCTTATTACGTATATAAGCCGTACATTACAACTAACAAAGGTGAACTACTCCACGACAAAAAAGGAGTGTTTAGCAGCAGTCTGGGGTTTCGAGAAACTTCATGCATATCTACATGGTTCTCAAACATTACTTGAAGGTGACCATGCTGTCGTTCCTTCATTATTAAAGTGAAAGAACCTGGTTGGTCATACTGCTCGGTGGTCTTTGAAACTTCAAATATATGATTTTGATGTTGTTCATCGCTCAGAGAGTTCTATGGCTAATGTTGATGCCCTTTGTCGAGCTTCTCTTCCTTCTTTACTCTCTTTTTATGTTTTTAATGAGCTTGTTATTTCAGCATCTGTGGATTTTCTCAACGAGGATTTTATGCCGTCGATAGTTGTTGTACTTGACATTCAGTGTCCACAAGGCGTAGAGCAAGATCTATCTTCTCTTGATGAGGTTCGCGAGGCTCAAAATATTAAGCTGTGGATTCAAAGGCTTCGAGATGGGTTTGAGAATCTTGCATCATTTACTGATGACTTGCTTTTCTGGCATTTACATTCTCAATATCACCTTGAATATAGCCTTCTTCATTTTGTAGGGACAGATCCTGATAATCATTTACAACTGGTGGTGCCTTCTATCTTTATTTCACAGTTTCTCCATGCCTACCATAATTCTCCTGTTCTAGGTGGCATATAGAACATCATCATGTAATTAAGAAGCTGCACAAGTCTTTCTATTGGCCGGAGATGCAACATAATATTATTTGGTATGTGCGTAGTTGCATTTAATGCCAAGCTCGTAATACTCCCTCTTGTGCCGCAAAAGGACGGTTGGAATTAATTGCAATTTCCCGTATGTTTGAGTTGGTGGCATTTGATATTATGGAACCTTTTCCACAGTCGATTGCTGGCAATGAGTATGTTATTATTGCTTCTGACTATTTGACTCGTTGGGTGGAAGTTAGTGCTCTTGCTAGTGCCTCTGCAACTGCTGTTGGATACTTCCTCCTCAATCGAATGGTGTTCCAGCATTCTTATCCAAAGCGGATTCTTTCGGATAATGGTCCCGCATTTATGGCTAAGGCATTTTATGTTTTGACGTCTCGATTGGGGATATGCCACACTTTTACGAGTGCTTATTATCCACATCAGATGATCTAGTGGAACAGCTCATTCAGATATTTAAAGGGACGATCATGAAGTATATGAACTTTCAACATTCGGATTGGGATGGTTATTTGGCGTCTCTTTAATATGTATATATCATAGGGTCCAGAGTTCTATTGGTGCTTCACCATATAAATTTTTGTATGGTCATAATCCAATATTACTAACGAAGCTAAGTTTACCTTCATGATTGCCATGAGCTGCTGATGCTAGGTCGTAAGATTAGTATTTGACAAGCATTCTTCCACTTGTCTGAGCAGAGTTTCCTAAATACTTAAGTTGTGTACAAATGGGACAACAATGGTGCTACAACTCCCATCATCGTTCACCTACGGAGTACAAAGTGGATGACTTGGTGTTAGTCCGTTTTCCCATCTTACGGTATATAGTTTATCTAAGGAGTTCCTTGCTCAGTGGAAAGAACCATATCGAGTGTTGCGGCAAGTTGGACCACAAGTTTATAAAGTTCGGCATGACATCCAGTAGGCTAATCCTCTAGAGATTGTGCATGTG